TCCCTTATGTCATTAAACACAAGAAGGGTAAAGAAAATGTTATTGCTGATGCATTGTCTCGTCGCTATACTATGCTTTCACAACTTGACTTCAAAATATTTGGTTTGGAGACCATCAAAGATCAATATGTGCATGATGCTAATTTTAAAGATGTATTGCAGAATTGTAAAGAAGGAAGAACATGGAACAAGTTTGTCGTTAATGATGGATTTGTGTTCCGTGCTAACAAGCTATGCATTCCAGCTAGCTCCGTTCGTCTTTTGTTGTTGCAGGAGGTGCATGGAGGAGGACTAATGGGACACTTTGGCGTGAATAAGATGGAGGACGTACTTGCTACACATTTCTTTTGGCCAAAGATGAGACGGGATGTTGAGCATTTTATTGCTCGCTGCACTACATGTCAAAAAGCTAAGTCACGACTCAATCCTCATGGTTTATATATGCCTTTGCCTGTACCTAGTGTTCCTTGGGAGGATATATCTATGGACTTTGTTTTAGATTTACCTAGAACAAAGAAGGGGAGGGATAGCATATTTGTTGTCGTGGATAGATTCTCGAAAATGGCACACTTTATACCATGTCATAAAAGCGATGATGCTGTTAATGTTGCTGATTTGTTCTTTTGTGAAATTATTCGCTTGCATGGTGTCCCAAATACTATTGTTTCAGATCGTGATACTAAATTTCTTAGCCATTTTTGGAGATGTTTATGGGCTAAGTTAGGGACTAAACTGCTTTTTAGTACTACTTGTCACCCCCAAACTGATGGACAAACTGAAGTAGTCAATAGAACATTGTCTACTATGCTTAGGGCTGTTTTGAAGAATAATAAGAAAATGTGGGAGGAATGCTTGCCTCATATTGAATTTGCTTATAATCGTTCATTGCATTCTACTACTAAGATGTGCCCTTTTGAAGTTGTGTATGGTTTCCTACCTCGTGCACCTATTGATTTGTTGCCTCTTCCATCTTCGGAGAAGGTTAATTTTGATGCTAAACAACGTGTTGAATTGATTTTAAAAATGCATGAGTTAACTAAGGAAAACATTGAGCGTATGAATGCTAAATATAAACTTGCTGGAGATAAGGGTAGAAAACATGTTGTATTTGCAACTGGAGATCTTGTTTGGTTACATTTGCGTAAAGATAGATTTGCTGATTTGCGCAAATCAAAGCTAATGCCACGTGCTGATGGTCCCTTTAAGGTGCTAGAGAAAATAAATGATAATGCATACAAATTTGAGCTGCCTGCAGATTTTGGGGTTAGTCCCACTTTTAACATTGCAGATTTGAAGCCTTATTTGGGTGAGGAAGATGAACTTCCGTCGAGGACGACTTCATTTCAAGAAGGGGAGGATGATGAGGACATCAATACCATTGTTACACCCACAGCCCCTGCTGCTATACATATTGGACCAATTACTAGAGCTCGCGCACGCCAACTAAATTACCAGGTACTTTCGTTTCTTGGTAATGATTCTAATGTTCATGAGAATATGATGTTGCCTAAATTGGATACATTTGTTTTGCTTACAAATGAAGGGCCTAGCTTGGAGAAGGATGAACATTGGAGCAAGAGCAAGCATGGAGATGATGGCATGCGCAAGGGGAACAAGAACGGAGTTACAAGTGATGATTTCAGGACTTTGAAGCCACCATAATGGGTGCATGAAGCCTTGGACGAAATATACAAGATGCCACTTCATAAATTTCGTCTAGAGGCTATTCTAGGTGCTGCGTCACCTTATTATTGGGCCAGGCCCATGTAATTTCGAAATACATAAGTATAGGTTATTTTTAGAGTCCGTATGTGCGGGGAAACAAGAGATAGGGTTGATTTCGGACCCCTCCACCAAGGGTCACGAAATTCCCCCCTCTTCCTCCATATATACAGCCCTTAGGGCACCGTTTAGACTTTGGGTTTTGTTTAGATTAAAGTTTGCCATAGCTGCAACTTCACGTACTTCGTTTGTGTTCAACGACCAGACAAAGGCGTCACAGAACCCCACCTTGATCAATAAAGCTTTCATCTTATATTCGCAATATCCAGATTGCAATCTCATTTTCTTGCGTGTTCTTCGTTTGCTCGCAGGAAACAGACCCTCGTGGTCAGGTTGATCGTGCTCCGGCGTGGTTAATAACCTCTCGGAGTTGGTTTAGCGATTGCTAAGGCGCGACGTCCTCACACGTTCGTAGTCGGATCGTCAAAGTTGACTTCCACCAAAGCGAAATTCATCATCTCATCGAAAGACGGGACACCTTTGCCTCTATCATCTCCTAGCACGGGTTGCCACTCATGGAGGCCCGGGAGATGAGCTCTCTAAAGAAGCACGAGGGCTAAAGCACCATCGGTAGTGAAGACCACCGGAGGTCTGAAGACCCACTCCTGCAACCTCCGCCATGCTCAAGGGCTATTGACGGTGTGGCGCACCAGGGTGGCTCACTGAAGGGATCCCGGCAGCAGGCCTACTGGAGAGCCCACAAGGCCCAGCGAGAAGAGGTAGCCCCAAGGAAAGGATAACCACCATGCGGCCAACTTTACTTCCAAGTTGATACGGCGGCAACCCTAGATTGATTTCGCCTTTATGTAAAACCCTAGCCTCCTTGAGTATATGAGGGGAGGCTAGGGAGCCCTCATTTCCATCTACTCCCGTAGAAACAACTCTCGGTAGTCATCCCTCATCACACGAGTTATCCCTCCATCATGAATAACAAACATGAGCAGGGTGGAGGGTATTACTCTCTGAAGGCCCAAACATGGATAAACCCTTTGTGCGACCTCCGCTTTGAGACTTTCAGCTACGCTAGGACCCCTACGGAGGGATCTGACAGTTTTCTGCACCTTCAGGTGAAATCTTGTCAGATTATGGAGGATCTGGTAATGAAGAAACAACATCCTTGAAGGGGGGCAAGAAGACAAGTGTAAAGAAGAAGATTCACCTTTATATATATGAAGTAGATATTGCACGTGTCTCTTGAAAATGAAGCTCTTGACATGATGATGTCCATAGGATGCTCTGCATCAGTTATGCTTGATATTGGAATAAAGGCAGAAATTCAGGAATCATCTTGGTTGGAAGGGCTAAGGCCTGAAAACATTGCACCACAAAATTGAGCTATACCGCAAGAAAAAGTGCCACTGCGGATAAGTCTTTGAGAGATTATGACTGGGTTGAGAAGACTGCCGCTCAAAGAGGTCTAACACTTGAGCACATTAATCAGTTCACCATCCTATGGGAGAAGTTTGCCAATGTCATGACCCAACTAGGCATCCAAGATACCATCATGTGGAACTACACTGCTTCATCGACCTACAAGGTCCAATTGGTCACCACGATTTGAAAGGTTTAGGCACCTTCCAAATGTATGTTCTACGCTTGGTCGCTTGGTTAGTCATCCATAATAAAATTTGGACGGCGGATAGGCTCCAACGGAGAGGGTGACCAAACTGCGACTGATGCCCCCTTTGCATCCAAGTGCAAGAAACGACAGCTCACCTACTCTTCCAGTGTCGGTTTTTAGTTCGAATTTGGAACGGTATGATTTTTTTTTAATGCACAACCAAGGAAAGTTATGTATGATCTCTTGGCTAGGTCTTCAAGTTAGTACGATACTTTGGCATCACACTGAAATGGTGAAATCTTTGTGGGAAGAGGTCCTCCTGAACAATGCACAATGCACGACCAAGAAAAGTTATCTTGCTCCCTCAGGAAAAAAAAAAACTATCTTGCGTTGCTTGGCTTTGTTGGATGAGCAATTTTGAAGGAAAGGAATGTGCACCTCTTCCAAAACAAAGCAGCGCGGTGGCGGTCATTGTTAGAGCAAATCCTGTAAAACCTCGCGGGCCCTTATAATTTTGGACGTGTTACAAGATCTGCTATTTTTTCGGCCCGAGCAGATCCGGTTAAAGAAGGCCTGGGCCCTAAAAAATGTACAAGCGGTCTGTATATTCCCGACTCCACCGCTATATTTGCCGAATTCCCGGCGATTTAGGGTTCCTATCTGGCATTTCCCACGCCCGCCTCCAACGCAATCCCCCCTACTCCGGCGACCGATCCACGCGTGCACGCACCCGTTCGGAGCAAATCAATGGCCGATGGAGGTTGCTGGCGTGGGGGCGCGGGGCCCATGGCGGGTCACCACCGCACAAGCGTGCCCAACACGACGCTAAGGCCGACAACTCCAGCTGGCCCGCCGTCGAGTCGTGGCGCTCAAAGCAGGCCAAAGAGTGCAACGCCCTCCCCGTAGTGGCGTCCGGAGAGCGTGGAGCAACTTCCACGAGGTCGGGGACACGCTTTGGCCCACCACCAAGGGGCTCCGCGGGGCGGAGATTGAGCTCGCCGCCACGGACGATGCCATGTCGGCTGGTGAAGACAGTACCACCGAGCGGCTCGTGGCGACGAAGGTGGTGTACGAGCTCACGTACGTTCTCTACCGATCGGCGGCCGAGTTCTACCTCAACATAAAGCCCTAAACTAGTTTAGATTAGATTTTATCTACTATGTGTTTAAGTTTGTATGTTTGAATGTATGAACTCCGGTGATGAACTATCGTGGCACGAACTTTAAATTTCAAATATGCAGTATAGTTGTGTTCACAAAAAAAATATGCAGTATGGTTTAGCAGATCTATTCTGCCATGCCTTCCACGGTACCGCAAATTCGTGTTACAGGATCCCTTGAACAAAATTTGCTGTACAGCATTTTACATGATCTGCTAGAGTTGCTCTTGCGCGGGGGCTAAGCACTTGAGTATCTTGTGCTACTTTTGCGGTTGTTTTCTTGCAAATTCCTCTTATTAATCAATAAAAATGGAAGTCTTTTGCCTTGTTTCAAAATAAAAAGAAAATAAAATAAAATCAGACATAGATTTAGGAAATCTGTACAATTAGGAACCCCACATTAGCGGCGGGTACAGTAGCTTGACCAGGTACGACTCCCAACTGCTGAACGTTTACATCATGAAATGGCTGTCTGCTCTTCCGTCTATCTGTTCACTTATTACTCATCTAAGTCGGTGTCAACCTGTTGGTGGCCTTTGCCAGTCGGCAGCAATCTTCTCCTTAGCAAGAACTGGACCAGTGATACGGCCACGACCAGAGCTATTTCCACATGGTCTGATGTGCTGATCTTGACACAGAGCCGGCCTAGATTTCTGCTGTTTACGTTTGCGCTGACCGATAATTTTGACCCACGGCCCACTCGTAAGACAGACTGAAGATTCGCCCCGAATACAGTCTCTTTCTCGAACGACAGAGCAGTGGCCGCCATGCTGGTGCTCCCTTCTCTCACAGGGTAGTCTTTCCCCCTTACTGTTACTTCCAGGCCACCTCCATCTGCCACTTGTCCACCACCAACCATCCTCCCGGCATTGGCTACCAAGTGGACTCGTTTCCCAATGGTGATGGAGTCTTCTAATTTGGCCCCAGAAAAATACTTTGACCCGAATTTAGTAACAGAAATACCTCCTCCGGTGGTGTTCCAAGGCAGATTTTGGAACCGGGCATCCCCATGAACAGTAAAAACCAAATCCTTACTAGCTGTTTGCATATCCATGCCCCCCATCAATGAGTAGCGCCTTTGATCACTATAGCTTACTGAACAATCCGACTGGATATACATGTCTTCTTTGTCCTTCCTCATCTGTCCAGCAATAGATGTTGATATGTTCTTTTTTAAGTCATGACATGATTGAAAATTGATACCATCGAACCCAATATCATGGTCCCATCCTTGGGGATCCAAAACTGGTCTAAACAACTGATCATTAGTTATAATGTGACGGTAGCGGTGTGCTGGATAATCAGAGTCAAAACTTAATGGGATTTCCATATCTGATATGTGCACAACTGGGGATGTGGTCTCTTCATAATCATCAGCAACTGCAGATGATGCTTCGCTGTTTTGAGCTTCAGCAAGCTTTTGACTCCGGATTCCCTCCTTCCACTGCTGTTTGAGGTATGAAGTCTCACGGTAGTCCAGTTCATCAAGATATGCAGTTCTCTGTTCTTTGGTCAACTTTTCATATTCAGATCTTTTTAGAACACGGAAAGGTGGTAGCTGATCATATTCATCCTCCTCATCTGATAGCTCAGTCATCTCATTGTCAACACCCTCAGAACTCAATGACGCAGAAGGTTTAAGGAGTGACGAAAGAAGATGAGGGAGTGAAGGCAGCCTGGCATTTGCTTGTGACAGCAGAAAACTATTTTCGAACTTTAGTAAGGAATTTGCTTCTGCTAACAACTTGGTCGCCCCACACAGCAAAAGAAGTTCTGATACCCATACCTGCCCATTTGGCAAAACTCTTTCACCCCTGGTGTTCCGTCTGCACATTGGATGATTGTCAACCAGAACAATAGGGTTCTCCAGCTGTGTGTTAGAAGCTGCTAGCTGGATATGACGCTCCACGACATTCTTACAGTAACGGGTGTACGCGTCATATTCCAAAGGATGACCATCTGGTCCTTCAGGAGGAGATGAGGAACAGTGAGTCATTACAAGGACAGTGTTGAACCATATCGAAGAACCCAAGGTATCAGTTATAAGCTTCAGCAGAGGGTAGTCACTGCATCTGCTATTAATATGGTCAAGCCGCTCAAAGTACAGGACGATATCAGGCGGGTTTCTTTTAATGAAACGCTTGACAGCATGCAAAATCTTCCTGTTCCTCCGTTGGCTATGGTAATGAGGTACCAGACCAGGTGTGTCGATAACTGTAACTCTTACTCCTTTGATATTTCCATGAACCCTCTTTATCCTACTAGTACCAGGAACAAGTGCATTAGTAGCAACCTTTGTTTCATCAAACATGGAGTTTATTGTGGCGCTCTTTCCCACACCAGTCTTTCCCAGAAGAAGAATTCGCAAGGGGAGGTCCAAATCAGGTCCACCGGGTGCTTCTTGTTCTGCTGCTATAACTCTGGCTTTGTTGATAGCAAGGTTAGTTCTCTTCGCATCTGATTCACCAGCCTTGATCAAGTTGGCAAGCTGCAGTCTGTACAGTACCTGTGCAACTACATTGGTACTGGGAGGCACTCCAGTCCTGTGTACCAGCCGCAAAAACTTAATTTGAAGTGCCTCAACTTGCTTTAGTGGATCTGACTTGTTGTGATCATGATCTGGCTGAAGAAGACCAGAGGAAACAGCATCCTGTGGGTTGGATGTGACGACCTCTAGTGCACGGCTATCATTGGAAGGAAATCTGTTGGCGGATACGGTTTCTACAAACTCACTTTGTGTTGTACCTGAAACAAGAAATCCACCAATTTACCTTAACATTTAACAGGAGGATGGCTTTATAACAAATTGTTGTCAGGAAATGTCTCCATGTGACGGAATAAAAAATAAAACAACAATTAGCAATAGGACCTTAAGCTATGCAAATGAAATCAAGATAGACCGCACACTAAAGGGATATCACAACTGCAATAACAGCAAGTGAACATCGCCAAGTCCTATAACTTTACATCAGGAACATAGGGCTCCCACTCCGCTCCGCTCTTAGCGCTCCCGCTCCGCTCTAAGCCCTCCACCGTGCGTCACTCCGACGCCAGCGTCCACCCTCCCGCCGCCCGCCACTCCGGCGACGGTGGCCACCCCTCTCTCGCTCTCCCCCGACTAGGCCATGGCTGAGAGCCCGCTCTCCATCACCTCCTCTTTCCTGCACAGGGAGCACCCCGTTGTCTCTGGTCTGGGACTTTCCTCGGCCTCGGAGAAGTCGGCTGCGGCTGCTGCGCAGGAGGCGGCGCAGGCGCCGGCGCCGGAGGTGGAGTCCTGCCGGCGGCTAATTCCCTGGAAGGAAGCCCCCCCACCGAGGAAGACCCTGCGGAAGCACAGGCGCGGCATTGGGCAGCCAAAGGTGGCGCCGCGCCCTCCCTCCCCGGTCTGCAAAGAGATCTCGCCGGAGATGCGCGACAAATGCTTCCGGTGCCCGGAGAAGGGGCACTTCCGGCGGGACTGTACCAATGACGTCGTCGGCATTCGTTGTGGGTTGTCGGGTCACAAGGGCGCGTGCAGCCCCTCTTCTGAAGACGAGCTCAGGCGGGAGGCGGCGGCCAAGGTGGCTTGCCGCTCAGTTTCTGCTGGGGGCCGGGACGTTGCAAAGGCCTCGGACTCGGCGGCGGCTCGGCACAGGCCGGTCGTGGCCCGGCAACCTCCTCCACCCCCTCCGCCGCCTCCCTTGGCGGCGAGGCCAATCTGGCCGTTGCTGTCAGCCCCCAGGCTGCAAATTCGGGATGATCTGGAGATGGAGCCCTCGGAGCTCTGTGTCGTCAACCGCTCAGCCGCCATGGCTGACCTGGAGCGGCGCCTTCAGCATGCCATGGTCGCATATGTGGGCGGCGCCAGGCGAGATGTGTCACCGCGGTTCGTGCTCGACGCGCTGGAGACGGAGATGGGCATCTCTGCAGAGTGGGTCTCGGTCCACCCCTGCAGGCCAGAGGATTTCTTGGTGGTATTCGCGAGGCAAGATCACCGTAACAGGCTAGGGCAGAGCCCGGCTGTGGAGCATCATGGAGTCCGGCTATTCTTCCGCCAATGGAACAGACAATCGCAGGCAGTTCATGCGGTGATGAGGTACAAGGTTCAACTTGAGATTGAAGGTATTCCTCCGCACGCTTGGGACCGCAGCGTCGTGGAGGACTTGCTGGGCTCTGCTTGCATCATCAACTTGGTGGCACCGGAGACGAGTTCACGCTCCAACCTTTCATCTTTCCAGCTGTCGGCTTGGGCAGCGGACCCGAAATCTATTCCGACTCGTCGGTGGCTTGCAGTGCCGGAGCCTGCAGAGCACGTTTTCAAGCCGCAGATGCTGCAATACAAGATTCTCATTCACCTGGATTCAGTGACAGACTACTCCGGCGCTGGCGAGCCCTTCTTCCTTGGTGGCTCTTCGGACAATGGACAAAGTGGCTTGCCGGACGATGATGAGATGGAGAGAGGCCGTGGGATCACCACCAGGCACTGGCAGCGGCAGTTTGGGGGTGAGGGACACCCGCAGTGGCGGCGTTCAGGAGCATGGGCAGGGCCGTGGTGGCGAACGGCAGTTCGCCGGCGGCGAGGGGCAGCCAGGGACGCCCCAGGACTGGAGGCTCCCACCAATGAATGCCGACAAAGCAAAAAGCATTGAGAGGCCCACGCAGAGTTCAGGATAGGCTGACGGTTCGACAGTCTGCTTTTGACCATATCGCCACGACAGCCAGTCCACGCGCGGCAACTGGAAGTTTGAATCGCCCAAGCGCCAACTCGACGGCTCAGCAGGTGGAGCGCGCACCCGCCATGCAAGACTTGCGAGAGGGACGACAGGCTGGGGGGCCCCTTGCTGGATCCGAGCCATCATTGGTGGGGATTCGCGAGACCAGGACAGCTGCGGCAGGGCTAGATATGGATGAGGACATGACTTCGAGGCCAGCCACGGAGGGGACGCAACTGTTGGTGGTGGATCCCGCCCCGCAACCCACTGCGGATCTTTTCTGTGCAGTTCAGGCTTCGGCTGTGGTGGGGCAAGAGGAGGTGCCCAAGGGCCGCAAGGAAGGGCCGTCAAGTCGGCCCGCAGAGGATCCAGCCTTGGTTTCTATTTCGGCGGTGGAGACGGACAAGAGGGGCCCATCGGCGGCGTATGATACTGTGGATTCTCGAGTGGAGGCTGCCATCATGGAACCCAAATACCCACTGTCGATCCCGAGGGAGATCACGATGGAGACCAACGCAGCTTCCAAAGATGGGGACAGCAAGGGACACGTGCCGGCCCAGAGTTCGCCGCTGCTGGTGGAGGTTAATCCAGATGCTGATCGCGACATGCAAATCGTCCAAGCTGCATGCAACCCAGGTATGACCCCCCAAGAAGCAGCTGCATATGAGAAGATGAAGTGGTTTTGCTCCAACCTGGTCAAGAAGCTAGCCCCACCGCTCCTCAAAGAAGTTCAGACGACCACGCTCAGGCCAGAGATGAAGCCCTATACCCCTTGCCGCATGACTAGAGCTACCAAACGTGCGCCATCGACACAAAAAGGAAAGGCCTCCCCGGCTGAAAACGTCTTAATGCGGGCGCTAGGATTGGCCCCGGAAAACTTGGAAGTGGACCATGCAACCATAGAGGAGCTCAACGTGCTATTTGATTCACCGTTGAGAGAGCAGCACGTGAGGATCATCGCAGCCCTCTTCGGCAAGGAGATGCCAGCGAGGAGGGACCTCTTGGAGCAGTCGTCGGGGATCGAGGCGCATTGAGTGCTTGGTTGGAGGCGGGAGATCGATATGCTTTATGGATCTCAACCGCAAGTGTTGTGCTGGAACATTCGAGGCCTGAACAATCCAGCAAAGAAGGCGGTGCGGGAATTTGTGACATCGATGCGTGTGAACATGGTGTGCTTACAAGAAACCAAATTAGATGTAATTGACCGTTTCTGTGTTATACAATGTTTGGGGCCGTCGTTTGATGCCTTTGCGTATTTGCCTGCGTTGGAAACTAGAGAGGGGGTACTCCTTGCTTGGGACACCACGGTCATGGAGATAGATAGCATACAGCTGGACACCAATTTTCTCACAGGGATGGTACACAGGAAGGACGGGGCCAAATGGTGGATCTCGGTTGTTTATGGCCCTCAAGGAGATGAGCTCAAAACAAATTTCCTAGAGGAACTGAGAGTTACAAGGGCAGGCTGTTTTGGACCGTGGATGGTTCTTGGGGACTTTTAACATGATCCTTCGAGCTTCGAAAAAGAATAACACTAATCTGAACAGAGCGATGCTGCGCAAGTTCAAGGACTTTGTGGACGACCATGAACTCAAAGAGTTATAAATGCATGGTAGCAACTTCACCTGAACGAACGAGCGAGACGAACCGGTTATGACCGAAATTGATAGAATTCTGGTTTCGTGGATTGGGAGCTGCACTTCGCTGACTGTTTGCTCCAGGCTCTATCGACGAACGTGTCGGATCACGCGCCACTTCTACCCTCCACCTCTGCGACGTTCTCCCCCCAAAAGAGGTTTAGATTCGAGCTTTTTTGGACTAAGCTTGATGGCTCTTGGACGTGGTGGGACGCTTGGGTTTGCGATGGGAACATCACAGATCCCTTCAAACGGCTGGATGAACTGTTGCGGAGCACGGCATGTGCACTCCAAGCATGGGGTCAAAGGAAGGTGGGCAACATCAAGATACAGATGACAGTGGCCAACTACGTTATCCTTTGGCTTGATAGAGCTCAGGAGCATCAAGGGTTGACTATCGAGGAGGTCTAGCTTAGGAGGACGCTGAAGTTGGCCCTGCTGGGCCTAGCCTCGCTCCAGCGTACTATAGAAAGGCAGCGGTCACGGTTAAGATGGATTAAAGAGGGTGACGCGAACACCAAGTTGTTTCAACTTGTGGCGAACGGAAGGCGCTCAAAAAACTTTATCCCGCGTATAAGCTTTGGAAATGACATTATCACCGATCAAGCTCGTAAGGAAGAGGTGTTCACCGAGGCTTACAAGCAACTACTGGGCAAGGCTAACTCGAGGGAGGCCACCCTGGACCCTGGATTTCCTTGGTGTTCAAGCATGTGACCTCCACGAACTGGAGGAAATATTCACGAAGGATGAGGTGTGGAACACGATAAAGGAAATGTCGTCGGACCGAGCGCCAGGACTAGGTGGGTTCATTGGCGCCTTCTATCAGCGTGCTTGGCCGATCATTAAGCAAGATCTCATGGCGGTTATGCTGAAGCTGTACATCGGAGATGGTCATGGCTTTGGGAAGCTCAATCGTGCACACATCGTGCTGATTCCTAAGAAGCCGGACGCGGTGGAAGTGGGAGACTTCCGACCGATTAGTTTGACACGCAGTGCGGCCAAAGTCTTTGCTAAGATGCTTGCTAACAAAGCGAGGAAACAGATGAAAGAAGTGGTTGTGACTAACCAGACCGCTTTCATCAAGACTAGGAGCTTACATGACAATTTCTTGCTAGTCAGACAAGTCGCACGGAAGATACACAATCGCAGGGAAGTTGGGCTCTTCCTTAAGCTCGACATATCGCAAGCGTTCGACTCATTATCATGGCCGTTTCTATTTGAGGTTTTGCAGGCTAAAGGATTTGGAAGAAAATGGATTGAATGGATCTCCATCCTACTGAAAACGGCAACTACGCGTGTGTTGGTAAATGGAGTGCCAGGGGAAGCGTTTGCGCATGCGTGTGGGATGGGGCAGGGCAACCCTATATCGCCACTTCTTTTCGTAATCACCATGGACGTGCTAACTTTGATGATCACAAAGGCGACGAACGAGAACGTGGTCAGCTCATTCCATGGCATTAAGGTTGTGCAGAGGATATCTATTTACGCTGATGATGTTGCTCTCTTCATCAGGCCTTCGGTGGCTGGGCCTACATTTGTTCGCTGGGCACTGCAAGCTTTCGGGGAAGCGTTAGGTCTCCGAGTTAACTACAGCAAATCTTCGGCTATTCTGATCCGTGGAAACGATCTGGACAAGGATAGGGTGGCCAACATGCTTCAGTGCGATATGACGGATTTTCCATGTAAGTACCTTGGCCTACAGTTGGCGATCAAGCAGCTTACAAGGAATGACTGGCAGTCGATGCTTGATCGCGCGAAGAAAGTGGTCCCGGCATGGCAGAGAGGCCTGATCACGAGGCCAGGAGGGGGCTCATTCTTGTGAAATCGATCATGTCGGCGAGGCCTATACACCATTTCCTGGTGATGGATGCGCCACTATGGGTGTATGAGGACCTTAACAAGTGGATGAGAGCCTTCTTTTGGACGGCCAAAGATAAGGCAAATGGAGGGCAATGTTTGGTGGCCTGGAACAACATATGCAAGCCGGTGGGCTATGGTGGCCTGGGGGTCAAGAATTTGCAAATCCAAGCCCTCGCTCTGCGGGTTAGGTGGGAATGGTTAAGAAGAGTAGACCCAGAGGGACCCTGGCAAGGAATCCTCCTGTTTGTGGACAAGGAGGCGAGACAGGTGTTTGACAGCTTGGTAAAGATCAA